AAGTGAGAGAATTTGGACCATAGTAGAAGCCCACATTTTGGATGGTCATAGGATAATTGTTGGCGTGTGAAATGGACCAAAATTGGAGTGAATAAATAAATATACCCCTAAATAAATAAACCCCTACCCCACAGGGTATTATGTCTTTGTGCATTTGTTTGTAACATGGAGAAGGAAACGAGATAGACCCATAGTTACTCCTGCGGATCTTCATAGAATCATTTTCTGAGTCGATTATGCATGTCGGTCCTTCTGTCCATGTATCTTTAGTAAACAAAATGCAGATCGCATTTATTAAGCAATTGAGATGAAGTTTTCCAGACAATATCTGCTTGACCCAAGGACGAACCCTATTAAAATTGCTGAAAATCGGTTTAAATTTAGATATAGCTCATATATATATCTTCGTCCTATTTCGGGTTAATCGTGATATATTGATATATTTCCCCAAATATCGTTGTCACAGAGTGCATATTACGGCTGCGGAGGACAAAAATAACAAATCGGATGAACAATATATATGGGATATATCTGAACCGATTTCGATCAAATTTGGCATACTTATTTTCAGGTCCCATCTGGTCGTACGTATATTCCATACTATTTGGGCTGATATTACAAGTTTGGTGCACAATATAAGGCAAATTGGATGAATATATATGGGAGCTATAACTAAATTTTGACCGGTTATATCCAATTTCAATAGGGCCTTAAGTCAAACTAATTATTTGAGCAAAATTTATCTTTGATTTAATTTTACATTAAATTGTTATTTTATTTTGTTTACAACAAAATAATCAAATTTGGACTTTATTTGTATCGTGCACCAAATGACTAATATCAGTTCAAATGGCCTTAATTTTGGCACATCCAACTGAATTCATCGTAGAAAAGAGTATCACAAATTTGGTGAAAATCGGTTAAGAAGTAGCTATAGTTACCATGTATATGTTTCAACCGAACTGGAATTTTAATTCCCTAATATTCGTAATATGCATTCCACAAGAATGATATTTTGTACCAGATATAAGACATAGCCCAGAAATACCTCTGGCAAATTTTATCAAGATCGGTTCAGATTTGGATACAGCTCCCATATATACCTTTATCCGATTTCAGCTTTACTGTGCACCAAATGGCTAATGTCAGCCCAAATGAACTGAATGGTGGAAATTCCAACTGAATTCATCCTAGAAACAAGTACTTAAAATTTGTTGACATTCTGTTCGTATATAGCTATAGCTTCCATATATATGTCTCATCCGATTTGGGGGTTTCAGACCCTCCCTAAGTAAATGCCACTGGTCGAAACCCAACGGTAACATGCTTCCAGGAAATTTAAAAAAAAATAAGTAAGCCTAAACGATTTTGGTACCAAAGGGGATTTCCAATATATTGTAGTGTATCACATGGTTCCTAGCTCGCCGAGCTGAGTCGATCTAGCTATGTATGTCCGTCCGTCCGTCTGTCCGTCTGTCCATGTTAATTTGTAATCACTCTACAGGTCGCAATTATGGCCCGATCTTCACGAAATTAAGAATGTAGGTGGGGCTTGGACCAGAATAGAACCCTATTGCTTTTGGATTTTGGATGATCGCCAAATGTTTAGGGGTTGAAATGGACCAAATACTTAAAAAATGTCGGATTTTGCAGTAGCTATACAGGTCGCAATTTCGCATGTAGATAGAGTTTAGGGCGGGGAAGAAGCCTACTAATTTGGGTGGTCATCGGATAATATTTAGCGGGTAAAGTATACCATATCTTTTGTGTTGAAAAAAATCAAAATTTTTCAATAAACCGTGAATATTTTAAATCCCGGCGAAATCACAAAGCCATCGCAAGGTTACTTCTGACCTTTACATTGATGTTATTATCCAACAAATCGGATATATAGCAAAATATGTGTGATATATATGTCTATCAAAGGAGATATGCTTGAAAGATCTCTTATATGTCGAGAATGGCTGAACTGATTTCGACAGTTCTCATTACTTCAGAATGGCCTCTTGGCAGGAAAGAAAAAACGTCTAAAAAATCGCATAAAAATATCTCTCTAAAGATGAAAATATTGATTTTGTAAAATTTTCCCATATTTTTTTCAATTTTGTCATATTTTTGGCATATTTTCATTTTGAATTAAACATTTGGTAATATTTCTACAGCTAACAAAACTAAGTAGTTAGGCTATCAGGATATGGCCCGATCCTTACGAAATTTTGCATTGAGAGGGTCAGAATGGAAACCTACTCTTTTTGGAGGTGATCGCCATATATTTAGGGGTTGAAATGGATCAAAAAACTGCAAAATTGTCGGGAGGTCGTAATTATCGCCCGATCCTCACGCACATTTGAATGGGGGTTACCGCACATTGCAAAAGCCAAGCAGTTTTGGATGGCCTTCCAAAAATATTCAATGTGTGAAGGAGTTTGCCAACTTTTGTAGACAAAATACGAAAATGTCCATTCCAGAGACTTTTTGGAGAATTTGGAAATACAGGAAAGACGCACTTCCGACTATTTCGTTAGCGCTGATTTCGTTGAAGAATATAGTCAAATATCTGTATCTCATATAGATGCGTTTCAGTCAAAAACCAATAATAAATGTTAATCTTTTGCCACTTCTGAGAGGTTATAGGTTTTTGGGAAATATTGGTTCCAGATTTAGGAAGACCATTTACGTGCAACATCTACCAATAAATTGGAAATGAGGAAATTAGTTTAAGTTGCTATTATTCGAAAATTAGAGAACGAAACCTGATGGTTTTCTTTTATTATTTGTCACAATATCTTGTGGAATTCTGTCGAGTATTTCGCCCATATAAACTGTATGGTTTATTATAGTGTTGTAGGGTATTCAACGGTCGGCCCCGCTCGACTGTAGCCTTTGCTTACTTGTTTTTTTGTTTTTGTATGATATTTCTTCAATAGCCTATATAAGCAAAGTTTTTAGAGAAGTTTAAATATTTATACAATAAAAATAAATTAAAAAAAAAATACAAATTTAAGGACATCTTGCCTCAACTTAGCGATTTGCTTTTCATTCCACCAACACAAACCCACCCCACCCCACCATTCGGCTACAGAGGGAATATATCATTTGATGCAGCCAAAATTTGCTCATAGAAATAACGGTTTTAAACCCTTTATCCCTATGGACCAAATCCGTTTCAGGATATTTGGAGTCGATCTAGCGATATCCGTTCGTCCGTCCATCTGGTACGCACGATAACTCTCAATGGGAGTATCCGATTTGGTCCAATCTTTGTACATCGTAATTTCATCATAAAAATCACATAATTTTATCATACCTTCCCCACAAAGTGGTACAATTTTGAATAACCATAACGATCATTAAATATTATTTGAGACTCAAATTCTCTTCAAATTCCACACTTTCCAATATCTGGTGCGAAGAACTTCTTCTTGTAGCTCCCCTACAACGGGATGCAATTTGGAATAACCCAAATTCTCATAAAATGCGAAACACTTATCCAATTCATTCTGAGCTTCACGTATTCCAATATTTTCACTAACACAAGATCTGATTTGAAGTTGGTATATATCGACCAACTGCTTCTGGTACTTCCCCGACAACTGGTCAGCATTTTTAATACTTATATCTCCCATAACATGTGAAAAAGTTTACGATTTTTATCAAACTTTGTGTATCTCTGTACATCCGTTAACCACGATCTAATAACTATTTCGGTCCACTCCGTCTGTTTGCACTTTTGACTTACAATTATTTCAGATTTTCTTTAAATTTTCACATACTTGATATAAAGTACAGCAAGTAGTCGATATAGGCCAAATCTAGAACCTAGTAATATATATATGTCAGGCGTAAATCAGATGCAATATGGACAATATTGGCCAACTTTTTTGGAACATCCGCCAGAAAGTGTCAAAAGCTTCAGTAGTCATAACGCAAGTCAATAAGTATGTAAATAAACATACATTGGCTGAGGGTATACATCTGTCGACGAAACCTACTACTCAAAAATTAAGAATTAATTAAAATATAAAGCACTTCAAATGGGATTTAAAAAAATCGTTTTAATTTTTATAAACATTTCTCCAAAAGAAAGCAGGTTGTCGACGAATTTCTTCTAAAAAAAACGAATAATAAATTTAAAAAGATGTTATTCAAAAATTACATGTTTAGATGCTACTTGATTTTTAACATCATAAAATGACGATTTTTTGCATCTATTGAAAATTTTACTCTTTAAAATAATAAAAAAGAATGGTTTTCATTTAAACGTTTCTTCGCAAAATTCTTATTATCTTATATTAATTTTTGACGCAGCTTGGCATAAGAATTGAATTTAAAATATGAGACAACATTATTCTTCATGCATACATTCATACGCATTATTTCCAGACACCAAAAAAAAATAAAAAATAATAAATAAATAAAAAAACATGAAAAGGACCCTCCAACAATTCAGCGAAATATGCCGCACATAAATGCTAGGCCGCCTATAATTTTCAATTTACCACGAATTTTGGATTAAAAAACATTTTTGTTTAGCTTTTTATAAATTCTAAAACGTTTTTGGGAAGGCCAGACGGAATGATAAGATCAGCGCCGTCTCGTGTTTGGCTGTTTTATTATTGAATTTCTCTTGGGGGCGAACGAACGAACGAACAACTCATTAGGTATTTTAATGAAAAACATTTTGCTATTTGATTTATGGCGAGATTCAGTTCGTTCTCGCTTTTTATGAAACACTTACTCACATTTGAGCCATAAAACAATTAAGAGTTTTGCGAAAACGATAAAGATGTTACCCAGAGTCAGCCAGGCGATGACAATTGTTAGCCGTTAGCAATGGGACACCATATCCATTGCCTCACATCCTCTTGGCACTCACATCCTTTCCTCTTGTCTTTTTTTATAGACACCAAACTTGTAATGAAAAACAGAAAAAAATGAAACGAGGGAACATGTTGACTAACCCTCCTCCACTCTTGTTTCGTTCTGTGTCTCCATTTCAGTTTTAGCACTTATCTTTGTTCTCTACAATCGCAAACGTAAAACAACAAACAAGAAACGTAACGGCCCTGAAAAAGATGTACGTGAAACCGTGATTAGTTACGACGACGAGGGCGGCGGCGAGGATGATATGACGGCGTTTGACATCACACCCCTGCAGATACCAATTGGACAGGGTGGCACAATGCCGCCGGATATAGCTGCCTGCAAGGTGCCAATAATATGTAAGTATATATTTCATATATGGAGACGGTGATAATGGTAATGTTTAGTTGTAGTTGTGTGAGTGAGTGAGTAAGAGTGTGTGTGCATGTCTGCTTATTGTGTGCTCTGTGCGCTGTAAGGATAACAAAGCCGTTGTTTATTTGTATTGTGCTATTGACATTCCAGTTAGAGTATTTGTTTTTCCAGATTGTTGCTGATGTTTACGAAAAGTTAACGTTTATGTCTTAACGGGCACGTAAAATATTAAAAATCAGGATTTTGTTTGTCGTCGTCGCTTGTTATTGTCACAATTCAATTTCTGTTTACCTGATGTCACTGATGGAACAGTGGTTGAAAAGGGATAGAAGTACATGAGTGCAGCCATATAGAATTATATATATGTCTCAATTCAAACAAGTTATGTAAAAATTTTAAAATGTAAATTTCAATAAACCTCTGATAAAAAAGATGGATATTTTGGTAAAAAAAATTTGAAAGCAGCCTCCTTACAAAAGAAAGGAATAAAAACGTAGGTCAGAATATTTTTTAAATCCACTTTAAAAAAAAAAAAAACATTTTGGATTTTATTGGAAATATTTTTTTAAATCCAAATTTGGAAAAAATGGATTATCCTGGATGGTAATGAAAGAAATATTTTTGAAAAAATTGGACGGACTTGGATTGGATGGACCTGGAAAAACTATTTTTTTAAAAAATCCGCGTTTGGATGGTCCTGGAAAACAATTTTTAAAAAAATTCACGCTTAGATGGTCCTGGAAAAATATTTTTTTTTCAAAAATCCGCGTTTGGATGGTCCTATTTTTTTTAATCCACGTTTGGAAGGTCCTAAAAAAATTCATTTAAAAAATCCATGTTTCTTGAAAAAGATATTTTTTAAAAAATATATGTTTCTTGAAAAAAAGATATTTTAAAAAAAAAATTCATGTTTCCTGAAAAAAATATTTTTTAAAGAATCCATATTTCCTGAAAAAATATTTTTTTTAAATCCATGTTTCCCGAAAAAAAAAAAATTAAAAAAGATCTACGTTTGGATGGTCCTGAAAAAATATATTTTCAAAAAAGATCTATGTTTGGATGATCCTGGAAAAAATATATTTTCAAAAAATCCACGTTTGGATTACCCTGAAAAAATATTTTTTTAAAAAATCCACCTTTGAATGGTCCTGGAAAAAATAGTTTTCTTAGCAAATCCTCGTTTGGATGGTCCTGCAAAAAATATTTTTTTGCATATCCACATTTGGATGGTCCTGCAAAAAATATTTGATATCAAATCCAGGTGTGTATGGTCCTGCAAAGAATATTTTTTATCAAATCCAGGTTTGGATGGTCCTGAAAAAAGAATTTTTTCCAGAACCATCTGAGCCACATACGGAAACATTTTTAAAGCATTTTTTTCCAAAACCCTCCAAACGTTAATATTTTAAAATATCTTTTTCCAGGACCTTCCAAACGAGGATTTTCCAAAAACTAATTTTTGCAGGTTTTTAGAAAATCCTCGTTTGGAACGTCCTGGAAAAAGATATTTTAAAATATTAACGTTTGGATGGTTCTGGGAAAAATTCTTTTAAAAAATCCTGGTTTGGATAACCCAGAAAAAAATTAGTCCTGGAAAAAAATCTTTAAAAAGTCCTAAAAAAAAATTATTCTTGAAAATCAAAGATTTGCGGCTCAGATAGTCCTTGAGAAAATCGTTTTAAAAATCTACTTTTATGGATCAGGTGGAAAAATCCGAATTTGGCGTACAAATGGTCCTTGAAAAAAAAATCTCTTAAAAAATCCACGTTTGTGGCAGATTGTACTCGAATATAATTCTTTAAAAAATCCACGTTTGTGGGCAGATTGTCCTCGAATATAATTCTTAAAAAAATCCACATTTTTGGGCCAGATTGTCCTCGAATATAATTCTTAAAAAAATCCAGGTTTGTGGATCAGATTGTCCTCTAATATAATTCTGAAAAAAATCCCCGTTTGTGGGTCAGATTGACTTCGAAAATTATTATTCAAAAAATCCACTTTTGTGGGACAGATGGTCTTTGGAAAAAATTCTTTAAAAAATCCACGTTTATGGGTCAGATTGTCCTCGAATATAATTCTTAAAAAAAATCCCCGTTTGTGGGTCAGATTGACTTCGAAAATTATTATTCAAAAAATTCACGTTTGTGGGTCAGATGGAAAAAAATCTTTACTCTTGGAAAAAAATCTTTAAAATCCACATTTGTGGGTCAGAGATCTTCGAAAAAAATTAAGAATCCACGTTTGTGGGTCAAAATGTCTTCGAAAATATTCTAAAAAATCCACGTTCTGGGTACAAATTATTTTAAAAAAATCCACAAATGGTCTTAGAAAAAAAAATTCTTTAAAAAAATCCTGATTTGGATATTCTAGGAAAAGAAATACTGAAGCATTATCTAAAATTAATATACCTTTTGAAAGTCTGGATGTGGAATGTATGTGAAATGATTTAATATTTTGTTTAAAACCTAAATGTTTTTTTAAAACCCCCTTAATTTTCCCCATTTATTTAAATAAAAGTTTAACATTTATTTAATTTTACTTACTTTTGTTTTACATTCAAACCAGCAAAAAATCCACAGTTTGCTATTCAATTGTGTATGAACAACAAGTTGTTTGTGACTTTTCTTTTGTTTACAACGTATATTTTTCTTCTTCTTCCCCTCACCCGCTCTCTCTCTCTCTCTCCACCACAATCATAATCAACAATCCATATTTTCCCTTTTTGTTTGCGAGTTGATGTTTTTCTGTTGTTGTTGTTGTATATTTACCTTAACTTTTATTCATTTCGCCCTACTTTTAGATCCAGTTGTGACATTGATGCCCGGCCAGGAATTGAATGTGGGGTTTTTAATGGAGGAACGCAAAAAACGTTGTGATAAGGACATCAATGCGCCACCGTTCGATGATTTGCGTAATTTTACGTACGAGGGGAGCGGGAGCATAGCGGAGTCCTTAAGTTCGTTAGCATCAGGTAAGTGCAAGTTTTTTCGCTCCCTCTTGGGCGTTATTTTTTTCTCGAGAAACTTTTAAGATGTAGAACTGCAATTTTATGACATTTCATGGCAAAATAATAGAGGGTTCCATGAAATGCGTTGCGTTTTTTTTTTTTTTATTTTAATGGGAAGTATATGTATTTATATATCCTGCTGATTTCACAGGAAATACGTTGTTTATTAGCGGGGTAAATGAGAAGTTTACGGAAAAAGTTACTTAAAAAACTCTGGCTATGACATTTCAGTGAAAAAAAGTTTTGTGTTGGGAGGTTGAGGAAAAACTTGTTTGATTTATCTTTCACCAAATAAATTATAAATATATATACTTATAATTTTCCGAAAATTCAAAACCACAATACCAATCTGGGTTGTAAAATATTGTGTCTGGATTATAAAAGAAATTCTTGGATCCATTTTCAATAGACAAAGTAAGCCTAAATTCAAAAGTAACCATTTTTTGGAGTGGGCATATTTTGCAACCTTTTTAACGTTTAGAAGTTAGAATATTGAGATTTTGTATGTAGAGTACTTAAGTACTAAAAGCTATTTTACATCTGTTTTTGGGATTTTCCATACATGCCTCAATTAGTACGTCTTTAACACTAATGTAAATTTTTAAAATTATCAATTTTTATACCCTCAGCCAGGGGTATATATCATTTGATACGGTAAAAACGTGCCTAGTCGAAATAACGGTTTTTTGAGCCTAGGTCTCTTTGGGCCAAATCCGTTTCAGGACATTTGGAGTCAATCTAGCAATATCCGGCCGTCCGTCTATCTTGCGGACTGATGCGCACGATAACTCTCGAAGAGAATATCCGAATTGGTCCAAACTTGGTACATCGTAATATATTTGTCAAACTTAGTTCGAGTTCGGAGATGGGCAATATCGGTCCACTCCTACTGGTACATCCACAGAAAGAGAAACGATAATCCGATTTTGCTCTAACTTTGCAAATCCTAATATTTGCGTCGGATTAAAAAAGGACAATATCGGTCTACTCCATCAAGTACCTCCCATCCCTCTTATAAAATGTGATGTAAGAGTCAGATTGTCTAATAATTGTACACATCCTAATATTTGTATAAACAAAGGATCTGGTGTAAATATGGAATACATCGGTCCACTCCTTCTGGTACCTCTCTCACAAAGGGTAGAAATATTCAAAAAACAAAATCTGCACAGAAAGAGAACCAGTAATCCGATTTTGCTCCAACTTTCCAAGTCCCAATATTTGCGTCGGTTTTAGGTCAGGTGCAAAAACGGACAATATCGGTCTACCCCATCAAGTACCGTGGGGGAGGGTCAAAATTTTGAATAATTACAACTCTTATAAAATGTGATGTAAGAATCTGATTTTCTAAAAATTTCGCATATTCTTATATTTTTTATTAAACCGAGATCTGGTGATATGATGGAATATATCGATCCACTCCTTCTGGTACCTCTCCCACAAAAGGTCGAGATTAACATCCGATTACATTTAGACTTGACACATCTGAATATTTCTATTAACATAGAATCTGTCGCAAAGTTGGTAGAGATCGGACCCTTTCTTCTGGTACCTCCCCAGAAAGGGTCAAAGTTTTGAATAACCTAAACGATCATAAAATCCGAAATAATCATCCGGTTCTCTTCCTATTTCACACATGCCATTATTTTTACCAACACAAGGTCTGTTGTCAAAATGGGATATATCGGCACACTCCTTCTGGTACTTCCTACACAAAGTCTTCAAAATGTTGGAAAACAAAACGTTCATAAAACGCGGAATAAGCATCCAACCCTCTTCAAATTTCACACATCCAAACATTTTTGCTAACACTAAATTTGTTGTGAAGATGATAGATATACCTTCTGGTACCACACTACAAAGGGTCACAATTTTCAATACTTATACCTGTCATAACTTGAGAAAGAAAACGGCGATTCTAATCGATTTGCTATACCAAAATATTCTACTTAACAAGAAATCTGATATGAATGTAATTTATCGAAATTTATGATTTTCGTATAAAATTGGATTTAATGTTCGATTTCCTTTAAAGTTTGCACGTACCAATATTTTTATCTGTATTAGATGAAGTCCGACGTTTCGGTCCGCTATATCGGGTAACTCACTCATATTTCCACATTTTCCAAAAACTTGCACATGTCTCCTATAAAGTATAGGAAGTAAACGATATAGTCCAAAGGTTGTATGTTGTAATATTTATATTTGACTTAGGGCAGATACGAGTTGGACGATATTGGCCAAGTGCTTCGGAACATCCCTCACCGTTAGAATAATCATAACTCAAGTTCGTATTTAGTCTTGACAATAGGTACTATATTTACTGATAGATAATTATCTACTAAGGCCCAAATTTTCGTATAGCCCCAGATAATTATTTCAAATTTTGTATTTGGAATCCGCAATATGCAATCTATGGCAGACCATTGGTATTGGGCTTTAGTTTAGTCCCCACATAACTCTACCTTTCGATATTCTGTATTTTAATCATTTTAGAGGCAATTTTAATTTTCTAATTTCTATGTTCCTTCATAATGGTGGAGGGTATTAAAAATTAGGACCGACCGAATTTAGCTGCAATTGTACTGGATCTTTCATTTATCTACTCGTAAGGTGGGGAAAATTTACTTTTATATCTAAGCAAATTAAATTACGAACTATCATTGGTGTCTTCGAGGATTGTCTATCGAAATAACAAAAAATGTGATTTGAGTGAAAATCGACTTAGGGCATTTCCGCTTAAGAATAACAACTTTCTAATTTCATAAAAATGTCAAAGTAATTATTGTCTCCTTCCGGCAAACTTCCGCCAGTATCTTTTTTGCTAAAACTACGGAAGCTCATTTTAAATACAAAATAAATCCCCATTAACCCATAAACACTTTCTTTGAAAATTCTTATTCCAACTTTCTCCCTTGTAAACTGATTATCACCGCCAAATCACTTTCAATTTTCCTCTTAAAATTCATTGGCATAATTTTATGGACACCTAACCGGCAACTTTTCTAAAAAAAAAATCCATTTATTAACTTTTGATAACATTACAATTAACATTTTTCTCTATCTCTTCTCGCTCTCGTTTTAGGCACCGACGATGAGAATCAAGACTTTAATTACTTAGAGACGTGGGGTCCACGTTTCAATGCCTTGGCGGCATTGTATCTGCAAGACAAAACGAAATTGAAACAGCCAACCAATGAGGAATTAACACAGGAGAGTGGTGTATTATAAAATTAAATTAAGTTCATAGATTAAATAATCCAAACTGGCAGTAGCAGCAGTGACGGTAAAGGCGAAGACGACGACGATGATGATGAAGGATCACAGGCAGCAGAGTACCCTTAAATCTCAACAACCTTGTAAATTACAATCCCCTTCCAACTGGAAACAGAGAATGAAAAAAAATCCAACCACAAAACGAAAAAAATAAATCCTAACAAAAAAATCCGGCATAAATGAAATGAACAAAAAAAAAAAAAAAACAAAACAAAAAGAAATAGTCTATTCGGAAAAACCAGGGCTACAGCTAAATGAGCCACTAAAAACAGCAGCAGCAAAAACCATAACATAAATATAAGAGAAAGTGTAAAATATCAGAAAAAAACGAAAAAATAAAAAAGTGACTTTTTTACATTAGTCCATAAGTTGTAGCATACCGAGAACAAAAAGTCAGTCAAAGTTACTGGGGAAAAATGGAAGTTATAGAGCATAAATAACGGTTGGAGCGCGGCATGGGGAATGGAGGCAATGAAGAGGAGAAGAAACAGCAAAAAATACCTACCAAATGGTACATCATAACAAATGCAACTACAACAGCAAAAAAAAAACAAAGAAAAAACCCTAACCCACATAATGCTTAGCCAGTAGCTAGCCAGGCAGCCAGCCAGCCGGTTTTGTAATTAGGGACGCGTAAAAGAGGTTGAAGGAACGAATGATTAAAATGAAAGAAAATCTCGGTAAATCGCCAGCAGGAAGCAAAAACGAAAATGAAAATCTCGGGGCGAAAAAAATTATATGATAGCTCGTTCTAGAGGATATATGAAGTAAATTGAAGTGCCGTTGTTGTTGTTCGGCTTTTTTTCCTTCTTTTTCTTCTTCTTCATTTTTGAAATGTAAGAAGAGCATATTAACAACATTTCCTTTAATTAGCTAGCTGGTCGGTCAGTTTGCCATCATGCTAAGCCAAAGGTGAGCTAATGGTCAACGTAGCGTATGATTATTAAAAGTGCATAATTAATTAAATTCATTATACGTTAGATATGGAATTAATACAATTTTGTTCGTCTTCAGTAGAGCATACCCAAATTAATGGGATTAATTATAATTAAAGGATTAAAACGTATTCAAGAGGAACGAAATCAGATTAAGGGTTCGAAAAGATGATTTTAAACACCTGCATATTTTGATACCTTTCAGTTTTTTTAAGGAAGTAAGACCCCGAAAATAATTCAATTAAAATAACTTCGAAAAGACTTTCTTTCAGAGGTGGATTTTCATATATATTTGATTTTTTTTTTTCAAAATCAAAGCGTAGTTGTTTTGAAAATAGTTTTCCAAGGGTCAAGCCACGGATTTTTAAAAATATGTTTTCAAGGATCAAAATAATTTTTTTTTTTTTTTTAAATCATTTTTATATGATTTTTAAGAATTAAAAAAGTATATTGGTTAAGAATAATTTGTTTTTAGTTTTCCAAAGATTTGTAATATAAGGATCAAACCGTGAGCTTCAGGGATCATAATTTGGATTTTTATAAATATTCTTCGAAGATAACAAAAATCTTTAAAGTTGATTTTTTCAAAACATGTCCGTGAGCTTTTAAAAACATTTGATAAGGATCAACAAGCCGACAAAATGTGAATTTCAGCAAGGCTAAAGAAATGGATTTTAATCAATATTTTCAAAAATGGAATTTACAGAGTATTTTCTCTTCGATAAATATAACTACAAAACGTGGGTTCTTTTTGAATCTTTGAACCAAGCTTTGTAGGATAAACAATGCTACATGATATCGAATGAATATTTTTAATGAATCGAAACATAGATTTTTAAAAATATTTTTGTTGATATTTTGTTTTTTATTTTGTTGAAAATGCTAAACATAGTTGATTTTTCGAGAAGATTTTTAAGGGATGAAACGAGGATTTTTTAATAACATTCTAAGGACCAAGAGGATACAATTTTTAAAGAATGTTTCCAGTGATTAAACCAGACTTATTGTAATATTTTTCAAGGATATATAATTTAAGTAATTTTATTTATCGTTGAAAAATGTTCCATTAGCTAAAATCAATCATTTCCTTCCTGATAGTTCTTCAAAATTATCTTAATTCAATTCATACCTGCCGATGGGTACTTCTTCAAATCTTGTTAAAATTTTAAGCGGTATTCCATACAAAATATTCTTCAGAAATACATTCCTGGTTTGAAAAAATCATATTGGACAGTAGTTGGATTAATATTCTTGAAATAGCCCATGATCCTTTGGAATGTCCTTGAAAAAATACCCTTAATACAATAACGGATAAGCGTTCAAAGAGCCTTTTTTTAAGAAAAATGTGACGTGTAGCACTATAAATTCCTTAACAATTATTAATTGAACGATAAATCTAATCCTAAAAAATATTTTCGCATATTGTTTCCAATGGCTATGCAAAGTCTCTTCAATAACATTTTCTAAGAAAAATAATTAAAATAAAAAAAATAAAAAATCTCATAACTCTTGGAAGGAAAGGGCTTCAAATCAACATTAAAAAAACTAATGATCATGTAGTCCTACATTTTTTTTAATTGATCGCCTATTGGTTGAAATATGTTATAAAAATATCCTTTGAAAATTCGTGAAAAAAATTCATTAAAAAATTCCCCATCTTTAGAGCCTTTTGGAAAAAATTCACTTACGATTTTCTGGAATATTATTTAAAAATTAAATATTATTCTTTGTATAACCCTTGAATAAATTTCAAAAAAAAATATAACATATAAAAAAAGAATAATTTTCTTCCCTGAAAAATGCTTAAAAATGTGGTGTCTGTATATTGAATAATCATTTACATATTAAGGAGATAGTTCTAAAAACTATCGCAATTAAGTTTGTACCTGTTTCGTGGATGGTTCTAAAATAAATTAAAATAATTATGAGTAAGTTCTTGGAAAAAAATATTTAAAAAATGGAATGCATTTTGTCTAAGGAGTCCTTAAATTATATTAGAAGAATTTAGGGAGTCCTTAAAAAATATTATACAAATTTTACATTTGTTGGAGGATAATATTTAAAATAAATTTCTTAAAAAAATCTTATCAATAACTCCACATATATTGACTGAAAAGTATCTGAAAAAATATTCCTAAAAAAATATACAAATAATTTAAAAATTTGACAGTTGCGGGTGTAAAGTTCATGATGGAACACCCTTGAAAATATCATCTTAGAAAAAAGATGACATAAATATACAAAATAAATATTTTTAAAAGAATTTATTTTTTTTGGATTGTCTTTCAGTAAATATTATAGAAAAACAAACAATTGTACCTGGAATGCTCCTGGTAAAAAATATATTATCTTTGAAATGCACGATTCTTTGTTGGATAGTCCTTAAAAATAATATTTTTGGAAAATTAATTTATATTTCTTGAAAATAATAATATGAAAATCTACTCTGATTCATTGGACAGAAAAAGTATTCTTACAAAAAATAATTTTGAGTCCTTTGAATAAAAATCAACGCTTATACGTTGAATAGCTCCAGAAAAAATATTTTCACTATTCCTTGGAAATTAAAGAGATTTTCCATAGGTTTGGAATCTAAAATACTGAAGATCCTCCACAAATATTCAGTAGATAGAATACTCTAAAGGGTTTCCCTTTAAATAGGTGTATTTTTATAGCAGAGCTTATGCAGCGCAATTTTAGAGATCCATATTTTTAACAAGTCGAAACTGAAATGAAGACCTTTCGGTAGTCAATCGTGGGCCTTTGACAAAACCTACTTAGCTACTTCTCACTTTAGGTAAACTTTTCACATCAACTTTATGTGGGAAATGATGTACCAGGAATACTTTTTTTCTGTTGCGAACAAAGCAATTGGTGTTGCCACACAAAAAACCACAATAACAAAAAAAAAAAACAACAACAACGAAACCCCATAGTAATTACGATTGTAAAACATAACAACAAGAAGTTAATGAAAGAAAAGGTTCTTCTTATTTACAAAAACACAAGTAAAAAACACATACACACCTACAAAACCGAGAAAAATAACTCCTCTGAGCCTCCTTAGCGCCACCGCAGCAAAACCCTAAATTGATGTAAATATTATGAATGAGTGTGAGTAAATGTGTAAATACATATTATGAAAATATAAAATATTTAAAAATTTATATAATTGTATGTATATTGATTTCAAAAATCATTAATAATAGAAGAGAAAAACCCTACGACTACCACTACTACTACTAGTGTTAGATATCATTACGGCAACAAAACACAAAAACAACATTTGAAATGGAATAATCAAAAAGTTTACAACAAAAAAAAAAAACAAATAATACCCGTATTTGTTAAGTCGACAACAATGAATAATACACATACATGCATACATTTAAAATTCATGACTCACAAAATACTAAAATGAAAATATAACAACAACAACAAGAAAAACATAAAACAATACAATAGCATTAAACCAAGAAATCAAACTGCATTTATTAGACTTTCTCACAGTGTAATGTTTAAAAAAAATAAAAAAATAAAGAAAAATAATTTAAAAATAAAGAAAATGAATTTAAAAATAAATATAGAAATTTCATAAACTATTACAAACATATTTATATACATATAGGTACAATTATTGTCTGTAGATTATTATATTTAAGCATAAATTTAAACTAAAAAAAATATATATATAAATACTAATTAACTAATTGAACAATATACATAGAATATAAAAAATATAGTTTAAATTTCAAAGTGAATAAAAGAAAACAATGGAAACCAGCAACTAGTTGAAATAATTTTCGTTAATGTTAACATTTAAGTATTATTGATATAAATTATGAAGATGAGGAAAAAAACACAAAACGATGGAATTTTTTTTAAAAAATAACTATGTTCAAAACTCTAAAAAAATACAAATATAAAAAACGTAAAAATATGCTAAACTCAACAGAAACAAAAAAAAAAATATTATAAATAAATATAATTTTAAATTATAAAAAAATGTTATTTTATTTTCTGGTAATATTGAATTGCTTTTAGGTGAGTATCAACGTGACTCCGAGAGCTAGGTTGGTTGTACGTATTCCATAAAATTATGAAAAAAAAAAAAAACAGTAAGGAGAGGTCAAAAGTCAGGCGGGGCCAACTATATGATACCCTACACCACTATGCAAAATTAGTAGAGCTCCCGTAACAAAAAATATTGTTGGGAATTTATGTGAAGGAGAACATACCAACTATGAACCTTATTACAAAGCGTATCATGACTTTAGAGTAATCACAATTTGCGAACTATATCTAACTTTCAATCGATTTTTAATAAATTTGACGGAGCGGAGCGAATTTCACCAAATGGAAAAATTCGGTTAGATATGAAAAAATATATCCGATTTGGGCTGATATTACAAATATGGTTGACAATAACCGTAAAATCGAATGTAGAGCTCCCGTAAGAAAAAAAATCGATAGCGATTAATTAATTTAAAGCTACATCTGATGTCTGGTATCAAATACTATAGTTATGGAGTGCATATTATTTTAAACACAAAATCGGATGAATAATATATCTGAACCGATTTTCACTAAATTGAAAGCACTTGCCTTTAGGCAGAATTCGGTCGGAGATGCCAAGTTCACTCCATTTGGGCAGATATTAGCCATTTGGTGGGCAAAAACCTGATATCGGAGATATATATATTGGATCCAAATCTGATCCGATCTTTTAGGCACTTAATTCCAAGCTAATCTGATATTTGGTACCAAAGATCAGTTTTATGGAGTGCATATTTCACAGGTGATGGACTTAAACTCCCAAATCGGATGGGGGTGATATTAGGATTTAGTGCACGATAAACCGGAAATCGGATAAAGATATACATGGGGGCTATATCCAAATCTGATCCGATCTCCATACAATTTGACAGAGAATCAGAATTTCTGGGCTATATCTGATATCTGGTACCAAAGACTATTATTGTGCAGTGCATATTACGCATGTGAGAGACATAAAACCCCAAATCCGATGAAACATATATATGAGAGCTAAAGCTATACCGATTTTCGATTTCAAATTTGATGTACACTGAATTCGGTCAGATATACCAAAATTCAGGTTATTTGGAC